GCCGACCAGAATTTGTTGATCCAAAAGTTATAGCTTTCAATGCTGCACGAGAAAGTAAAATAAATCGAATTATTAACGTTGATTCTTTAAATTATGCAGTAACGCTTTTGTTTTCGGTGACACGAGTTCAATCTCATGGTTATGTACAAGTTGTTTTTAATGCTGTAACTAAAGATTTAGAAGAGTTAGGATATAAAATTGAAACTAAACATCCTTCTCAAACGTCACAACAACGATCAGAAAAGAATGAAACAACATATGTAGATAATTATCATGCTTAATAATGTATTCGTTTAATAAACTATTCGTTATTTGTTTCTATACGCGATGAAATGATTTAACGTAATCAATTCATTTTTAAATTTTTTCTAGTTGAACAATAAATAAAATTTCTGTTAGAACGATAAATATTTTTCTTAATAATTAAACTTGAAAGTGAACTTATTTTCGTAAAACAGTTTTTCTCATAGATATCACCAATAGGATAAACAATAAAACAAAACTCGATGATATTTTTTGACAAAATAAAATTTCAACGTGTGATCAAACTTATGATGAATATCAAGTAGATCTTCAAAAAAAGATCTCGAAGTTGAACTGTCAGATTTAACGATCATCGTTATTTATGAACAAAAAAAGGCTACAAGAGAAAATCTTTCTTTTTTCATTTAGTTCCAAAAGTTGAATGAATCACTTTTTATAGTTTCTACTGTTACGTAGTATGTAAATTTTTTAGTTTTCTTCTTACAAAACTCTTCATTATCGATCCCATTGCAACCTTGAAAGTCAAAACTTTGTTTGTTCAACATTATGCAATTGTTTTTTTTCCGAAAATTTCGTTCACATTAAAATCAATAATACATCGGTCGATGCATCTTTATTTCTTTTTATTCTCAGTCAAAACACAAATCTCATTTCTTTTTATTCGTACCTACGAGCAAAGATGGTCATATTTAATCATAAGGCAAATTAGTTGAGAATGAACGTACTTCAATTGGCATTCTAACGTATATGTTCTAAGATAGAAAAGAATATTTTCATAAGAATCAAACAAACAACTATTTATTAATTAGAAACGAACACAACACTGTTTTTGAATGTCTACCTATCGGACAGTTCAAAAGTACTCGGCAATTTTGTACTTTTTTTGTTTTCATAGAATTTCAGTTAGTACTCTTCTATCTGTTATCAAAATACGTATTGAGAAAATCTCTGGAAGATTATAGAATAATGCATGATATATACTGAAAGAATGAAAAATAGACCAAGTTATATTATTTGGAAAATTTTACTTTGAAATAACACATTTTATTTTATTTCATTAACATTTTGAACTGTAATGTTCAATTACTGAGAATACTTTCGAGTGTATGAAAAACTCAATGTTTCAACTGTAGTCAAGAAAAAAGAACAAATATACAGTGAGCACTCAAAAACGATCTAGACTTTCAAGCCTAAAAACCATTAACGGGACAGATGCTCACTGACGAACGTAAAGAAAAACGAACAAAGTTTGCTAACCGCACCTGATTCGAATTGAAAAAATATCACTGGTAGACCGTCGGTATAATGTGAGCTATATCGCCAGTTTTTTAATGAAAGTAGTGCATCGTGTTACTTTGTATCAAAATGGTTCAATATTTTTTAAATCTGTTAAAATCGACAGAATTAGAATCATGGAGTCAGGTTTGAAAACAACGTGGAGAAACAGATAAAACATTTTTTACTTGTTATCTTACGAAAGGCAAAGGTCAACTCACACATTTTCAGTTTATAAACCAAAAATAATTATGGTTTTGTCATAATTCTTGAGTGTGTTTCGAATCATGTGCTTATTGGTCTTTACCCTTTGCTATAATATTAAAGTCAGCCAACGCCAGTACGAGCAGTATTTTGCAATACATAGATATATTCTGCTTTTTCAGTTTCTTTCTCATCGCAATCTATCTTTTATGATGATTGATGTGGAGGCCACAATCCGAATCCGTAAGTATTATAAATTATCAATCGGAAAACATTTCTCAATACTTTCCTTTTTTTTAATTAGAGTACCTACCAGCAGTTCTGTAACATTGCATACTGTGAGTGCAGGTAGTGTTGCTGCAGAACTAAAACAGATTCCTAATCGGCCAATCCGGCTTATGGTATGATCTTCTATTGAAATTACTCGATTTTTAAAAGATTTCATTCGTGTTAGACTGATCTAACACAAATGTCTCGTACAGAAGATCCCATAATAGCATGAACTTGAAAGACATTTATTGAACAAAATGGTGTAAAATCATACATTCTCCTAGTGTGAGCATCGATGAATAGGAGAACTGCACTCACGTTCCAAAACCCATGGCATAGCCGTCATCTCTAGGAGAACTTACAGATATAAAACAATAGAACATTATAATTCTTCTTTTTGAAGATTAATAAAAGCCTGAGGAAAAAATACAAAAACGATTGCTTTTTTAGAAGCTCTTCCTTTAACCGACGGTTAATGGCCTAACAAATCGGTGAAATTTTACCAGTCGGTTGATTGTAGATTCTTTTTGATATGGTAGACATGAGAGATAAATACGAATTCATTTTCTTTGAGAAAAAGAGAAGAACAAAAATAAATGTAAATAAATAATTAAAGAAACATTTATCGTTAAGACACATCTATGTCATGTTAAAACTAAGATATTATAGCCAAAGACGAAATCTTGATCGGTGAACATCAATTCGACTGTTTGGAAAACGAGTTTGAACCATTAAGCGATAAGATTCTACTTTTTCACAAGAAATTACGCCACGAATATCAAGAAAGATAAATTCTTTTAATTGGTCAACTAATTGAGAAAGATCTTGTTCAAAAACCGATACATGATCATCTAAATAAAAATAGTTTCAGAAAGTTCGCTTTTTTTCTTCTGCAGATGCATTTGAATTACATACTAATAGATTCAAGGGTTGATAAAGATCGCATCCATCGTGCTAGAAAAGGTCCATATAACTGTCTAGATTTATAATTTGGTCGAACTTGCAAAAATTAGAAAAAAATAGACTAAGTATTAGAGATAAATATCGGAAATTCAAATATTTTCACTTTTTATTTCACTTAACAAAAAATGAGTGATTAGAAAAAAATCTGTTTACCTTTGTTTGCAAGATTGTCAGAAAATACGGCATTTTTAATGTATTTTCTTAAATGAAATAGGAATGTTTGACTGGTTTTTCAGTTTTTCGCTTAACATTTCAATTATCTTTCTTATGGATTAAAACTAGAAATCAACAAGTTCGGTTCTAGATCGGATCTAAAGAGCTGTTAAAAACGATCTTTAATAAGAACTGATCGACTTAGTTCAATAATGATCTATAACTCTTCTTGTAACTAACAACATACTGATATCTGCAACTCCTTACGATCGCGTGGCAGAGGGTACACGAAACTCGTCAGAATCTATACAGAGAACATACTAAGAAGATTGGACTCGATCGATCATTTGTTAGAACTAAACTGTTTCTACAGTTTTTTTTAGCTCGTTTGAGCTAAGATAATGAGCTGAAGCTGATTGATCCTTAATTAAAATAATTCAACAATGAATGAACAGGTTTCTCAGAATTATATTTTACTTTTAATGCATTAAGTCTATACTGTTGTGAAACTCATTTGTGTTCTTCGATAAAGAACAAAGTTTGGTAGATATGTCTGATTGAACATAAGTGAGACTGACGGTGAACGTGACTTTTACTCTTGTCTTCCTTTTACACGCCATACCCAATCTTGAACTCTTTCTTTTACAAAGTAACTGACAACAAATGAACGCAGGACCGAATCTGAACGTTCGGGTTCGATGTATGCCTAAATTTATCTTTATTGGTTGCATATATTTTATATATTATTATGATAAATATATGAAATTATTATGAGTAAATCCGTTGGGTTTCTACCATATTGTGAAAAAATGTGGAAACTTCGGATTTCATTCGAGAGTTATGTGTACTGCAAAAAGTACATGGGACATATGAGTCATTCTAGAATGTCTGGACACCAAAATTATCATGAGAAACTAGGCATTTTGGTTTCTGGATGCAGTTTTTGTGCATTTTGAGACCGTTTTCAGGCGATGCTTCGTTAGAAAGCTACTATTTAGTTCAAAACTAGTATCAGATTCGGAATCAGCGTTAAGAACTGAGTCGATTTATATATGTTGTGGATAATTCTGAGAAAAAAATCTTTTTTTAAAAGAGCCTTTTACTCCCCCTCAGGGATGGTCTGATCACAAATGACAATTTTTTCGATAACTCAGCCATTTCTTGACGGATCCTTCTCATCTTCGAACTCGACTGAGACATTGATGAGACTGAACTGTGCAGAAAATTTCAGCACGATCTGACTCTCATTTAGAATTTATCGTGTAAACGGCCGACCGGCCGGCCGGACACACTGACCGATTCTAGAGTGTACTCACTTTTTGAGTACACAAAAAGGGTTTTTTCGATTTTGTTAGTCTAGTTAGACGTATCATCGTTGAAAACTGTCTGAGGTAACAATTAAAATCGTTAAGACAGATAGAGTACGAATATCCAGATCGTTTTTAGGAAAATCTCAATAAATGTATACATATACGCAATAATTTTCTGCAATACTGACCTTCTTGCTAGCAAAAATATTTATCAAGTTAAAATCTGGATCTGGTGCTATACTGTTTTGTAAAGATAACTCTTTAGAAATCGACAAAGGCCTTTTAGCCCTCAAAACCCTCGAACGGAGATACAGTAATGAATCAAAATAAGTGTGCCTTCTATTTTCCTATAACATATATGATTTTGAATTTTTGAATGGCTAGCCTAAATCAGGGGATGGATTTCTACAATATGCATTGAAAAATGAAAGTTTTCGAATTTCTGTACCTCACTTCAGAGGTCATGTAAGCAAAACGTTTTTTTGTCGATTTCGAAAGTTATCTATGTATAAACAGTAACGTATCAGGGCCTGACGTTAAACTTGATAAAACTTTTCTTAGCAAGAACGTCAGCATCGCAGAAAATTATTTTGTACATGTGTATCTTTTTGAATTGTTTCTAGAAATGATCTGGATCTCCGTACTTTATATGTCCAAAAAGATTTCAATCGTTACCTTAGACCGTTTTAAAGAGAATACGTCTAGCTAGACTAAAACAATTTTCCGCAAAAATGGTATAAACTCGGCGGATGTATCCTTATAGAAATATTAATTAACGAATCTGGTTCCAATAAATAATATTAAGAGATCAGATCAAAGAAAAGCTTCTTCTTTCATTTAAAAACAAACTTACGAGATGTCCAAGGAAAATCATCTGGTCTCCATAATTGTAATACGTGTAAATGTGGCATATAAGTACGAAGAATAGGTACAAGGTGTTTACCACTATGAATCGATTCATTTTTACCAAGATTGCAACTTGGAATACCGAATTCAGCATATCGGATAGTACTTAATGCATTTTTTCGCAATTCATCAGCGGCCTAAAAATGAATTCAATTTATGATTTTCAGTTTTTTGTAAATAAACATGCACAAAATAAACAAATGAAGTCAATTAACTTAAAATTTAACGAAAAATGAATGCTTACATATTGAGTAACATATAAAAGCCATTCGAATCTTTGCATAAAAAGATATTTGAGTTGAACAGGCATTGAAAGAAGATGAGCAAATGTTTTTGCACGTTCTTTATCTTGATCTGTTAATGTATCACAAGAAACTAGGAAAAAAAGATCTCGCTTATATATCTTTATGATAAAAAAAATATGATTTCAAACAATACAAAAACGGATTGATAATTTTATAGCGAAAAGATAAGGTGCAGGTTTATTTGTATTTTGCTTATACTTAGAGATAGTCACTCTCAATGAAAAATGGCAGATTATAACCAGGTTATCGTGCAACAAAATCAAGATTTCAATCGATTATAATTTTGATTTTATTGCACAAAAATCCAATTATAATTTGACACGTTTCTCTCGCCTATTTCCTATCCTAAATGGATTGTTATATCAAATCAAAGTTGATGTAGTTGTTTTCTGGATCCGGTGGGCTCTATACGACATGCTCTTGAAGTATCTGTTTCGATTTGTGAGATGAGAGTAAAATTGAAGATGTTTCTCTTTGCATATTACCTATAGTATCGTACAATTAATAACTTCTACGATCAGGAGCATATACACTGAAAATCTTAAGTAATTAAAAAACGTTTATACTTGTTACTAAATTAGCTTCTTTAATATTATAATATAATCAATTGAATTATTTCTTACATTTTAATTTCACAATGAATTTTACTAACAACTATTTTGTACTAGTAAAATAATATAATTATTTATTTAACTATTGCCTTGAAAATATTTGAATTAACTGATAATAGAAATTTAAATAGTTCGAGTGAGATCATTGTAATTTTAAAAATATATTAAATGATATTTTAGTGAGAATTAAATAATTGATGTATATTATAATATATAGAATAATAATCTTCTTGTTTTATTTTCATTTTCTGATTTATTTACTTTATAAAATTAGAATAATTCAAAAATATACAATCCATTCAACTGGTTATGTCATAAGATAGAAAAAAAGATCAATTGTATTTTTATTTATCAATTTTCATTACGTTTTAGAAAGGTTGTATAACTCACTTTAAAAATATTTTTCTCTTCTTTTATTTAATTTCATCAAATACAATATACAATTATATAGGATATTAATACTATTTGGATAAAATATAATTTACAATTGAATAAAATATTGAATATAATAATTATACATATTATGACTAACGTTTCGAACGTCAAACGTTCTTCTTCAGAGTTTAAATTTTATGAAATAATGTTTATAATTTNTACCAATATTAATTATACTTCAAAAAGAAAACAACAAAGAAGAAGTGAATATCAATAGATGAAAAGATCCACCTTATTTCAGAACATTTCAACTCTGAAGAAGAACGTTTGACGTTCGAAACGTTAGTCATAATATGTATAATTATTATATTCAATATTTTATATATTTGTAAATTATATCCTATATAATTGTATATTATATTTTATCCAAATAGTATTAATATCTTATATAATTGTATATTGTATTTGATAAAATTAAATAAAAGCAGAGAAAAATATTTTTAAAATGAGTTATCAATTTTGACAAAGAAAACAATCTATACATACAAACCGTACGACCGCGATAAATTCCAAATCGAAGCGTTGTAACATTGCGAAGTTGAATATAATTTAGAGTTTTCTCTCCCATTTTGAATAGTGTTGTCATCTTATTTGATTCGTTGATATAATGTTCTACAAAAAATAATCTTATTGGGTTTTAGTTAATATCATTGAACTTATCTCTATTAGATTTTCTCACAGATAAAATAACAACTCAATTAGAAAAAACTCGACTCAATCTTTATGTAGTTTTATTCTTCAACGTGTATACAATTTTCTAATACCGATAAAATCTAACTTTAATCCATGAAGTAAAAACAAGAAATGATGTCTTTCCAAGATAGACGCCTTAGAGTATTTGAATTGCTTTAACTAAATGAATGAATGTAAAGTTTTGAATTTTTACCGACTGATTATATCTACTAGCCAAAACAAAATATTCAGAGCGAAGAATTTATCAATATTCATGGGAGATAAACAAAGGATTTCAAGGCTCTACAGTACTTGCGAATATATTTGTAAGATTTAATAGATTTCAAAGATTCTTTTGAAATAACGCCATAAGATTTGTAGAAATTTCATTACATATTCAAACGTACAATTCCAACACTTGATAAAACTTCGTAATATGAGAAAAGACATCAAAAATCAAGTCTTCACTAAAAATGATTGAGATAAATATTTACTTATATAAATTGTGATAGAGGCAACATTAGAACATAGTTCATTCAATTGATCGAAAAATAAATAAAGAGATGAATCAAAATCAATCGAAATATGTCGAGTATCTGACCAATCATACATAAAGGGCTGAGTACTAAATAAAAAAGAAAATAATTATATGAAAAACTTTCCGAAGTAAAATTGTCGTACAATAAACTATCAGACAGCTGTGATTTATTGAAATTAGAAAAAATATGTTGATATGACTCGTTTTTATCATATAAAAATTTAATATTAGTCCATTGATGTGAAATAAAAAAAGTATCCTTTTTAAAAGAATTAATTGTGTTTTCAATATCAACTAATGATAATTCATATCTTCTACCAATATAAAAATGAAAGTATTTTAAATGAATCATTTTATCAGGTAAACAATATTGACGAATAAAATTTGCACCAATAACAGATTTCCATATTAATTGACCTGTTCTCCACATTACTCCACTTCTTAAATCAATTTTTAGCTTTGTAATATGATTAAGATTGTTAAGAAGCCATTTTAAATAAACAAATTCTAAATCATTCTCAATAACACTCTTCAATATAAAACATTTTAATTTTGGTACCTATTTTTACAAAGAATCAATTATTATTGCGTTAACAATCAAAGTAGAAAATGTATTGTTTGTTCCATTTAATTTAAATTAATTTCTTCGTTTTATTATTTGATCATCACAATGTTCTACATTCTTCTCATATTTTGATATTTGTTAAGCAGTAAAAAATTGGGGAGGGGGGAGGAAGGAGGGCACCTATTCAAACCAGCAGAATCCGTTTTTTCCGCTCGATGAAATTTGATATTAACGAATGATCTCTATTGTGCTTTGTTTTACCGTAAATTCATGAAAAATGAAATTATCGCTTTAAGCAACTTCTTCTTTCGTGCTTATACCATTCATTGAACATCTCTCCATGACTTAATTAAGATGACTCAGAGGTTTCAATGCCTTCTATAAAACCAGAAATGTCGGCTTAGCATTAGCAATCTCATTAATCAATACTAATTTGAATACTTCTGCATTGACTGGACTATTAAATTAATATTAATTAGTGCCAATGTTATTGTTAAGGCGACACCCCTGTAAAAAATCATTTTCAATAGTAACGAAATGGTTATCTGTATTGGCACAACAACTGGTCTATTTCGTATTTTGAAAACACCACTCTATTGTGGAGACTTTGGCTTGAACGTTTTCTAGAAGCTAGTCCATAAAATTGTCTTTGAAATCCAATGAAAAGAACTCTTGAAATGGATAACTAAAACCTAAATTTGGTTAACAATTCTATGCTGAAAACGCGTCTACTTTCAAATCCACTGTTTCACTGAATTAACTATTTCTTTTCCGATGGCTAATCATAATTCGGACTATTCAACAGCAATTATTCTATATTTCCGGGAGAACTCTGTGTGAGAGAGCCCAACAAACTCTATCAATACGTTTGTGAAGGTGCAACTGTCAAA